TTTCGTATGTAGATTTTCATTAACATGAATTGAGCACTCTTCTCGTCAGCGCATTTTTGTCTAATTTTTCTGCAAGGAGGCTTTAGTAGTGTCTCTCTCCTCGCAAATAACACCAAAATAACGCCACGCATGACGCACAATCCCCCTCTATCTTCCTTCTTTTCTTGTTCGTGGGACTCCCCTCTTTACGAGAACGTTTTAACATTAGATTCGACACGGTAATTGGTATCGATGCTAATGTCAATAGAATATATCGATACATTAGTGGCATCGAATCCCATTTAACATTCCTAAGTATATCAGTTGATATCGAAGCAGGAATTTAAAAGTAGAAAATGATAAATGTTTTTGAATAAGAATTCAGTTTCGGCATTTTTTAATATGTGATTGCCGTTTGTGGTTAACAAACTAAATTAAACATTCGTTCAGACAGAATACTTAAACTGAATTTTTAAATAGCTCTTCTTGGTGAGCAACAACAAAACTGCAATTTGACCCTCTGTTACATGGTCATAGAAGTATTCAAAATAGCAGCTGGTGATATTCAGCGAGTTCTGTTTTGTACTTTCTCGCCCTTTCTTTGTAGGAAGTAAGAAGAGAATGTACTCTAATCGCGCGCAGGAAAATTGTGAATTTTCGACAGCATTTTATTGGCGGGACCTGGTAACGAAAAAGTGGATAAATCTTGTTCCTATGTATAGTAAGTTACAGCATCTAACACGTAATCAATTGACGGCCAAGCGACTGTCCGTTCTTCCGTCTGTCAAACGTTTTCTTTAAATGATCTATACAATTTTCTATAATATATTAATAATTAATGTGTGACGTTTGAGAGTGCAAAAGTAGTTTCCTATTTAAAGAAACACAAATGGGTTCGATTAAAATTTGGCGGATCTCTGGGAAATATGAGGAAACCATAAAAGGAGATCGTTGGCCCGGAAGCAATTATAAACGCATTACAAAATCTACTTTTTGTCGTAAAAAATAAAATGGATGTAAAGTTAGATTACACCAACATGGTTATTTAATTATTAAACACACACTCTTCTGTGATTGGTTTTCTCCTCCTTGACCAGGTCCACGTATTCTACGTTTTCTTTTTTTATTTAACTATATAGTTTATATTTAACTATTTTCATTTTTAAGGAATTATGACGTATTAAAACAAAAATAGTATGCATACATTTTCTGTAGTGTTTAGTCTCTTATGCGTTTATTCTCTTCGTGTTTTATTTCTTATAACGTTTAGAATAATAAGCATTTGATTATCACGTTATTCTTGTAAGCCTCTCATTATTAATCTAGGAATTTACTGTGTCTCTTGATTAACGAATCAGTGGTTTTGTCAAGAATGACTTACGGAAGGGCGGGAATATATTTTCAGCAAACGCCGATGTCTATAAGTATAACACTCGTAGTAATCATATTCATCAGATAACGATATCAACAGCTCACTTCGAAAGAGTCACATATACATTATTTAACAACACTTTGCCAGATGACATTAAACGATTAAATTAGATACAAAATTTTAAGTTCATAGTAAAATTTTACTGCTGCATAACAGTTTCTAGACAATTAGAGTCTACACCAAGCATCAAAAAGGAAAGTAATATTAATTTTAACAATGATATTTAATGCATTATTTACAATTTGGACTGTATACTGTAATTTGGCAAGTAATATAACTCAGCTTCTTGGTCATGACCCCCCATCTCGATCAGGTTTTTCGTCCCATTTCCCTGATCCTTTCAGCAATTGCAGAGATGGCCTCTTGTTTTGCTTCTAGACGTAAAGGTCACTTCATTATCTGTGCAAGTCTTCTAGAGTTCAGTTGGAAGTATAGTTATTCAAATAATTTTTCTTCACGTTGTCGCGGGAGGAAGCATTATTCCTTCACGAAGTTCATGGGGATACGAGCCCACATTTATGTATAACTGATTTGCCTTTGGAAATAAATTGTATTACATTGGAGCGAATATTTTGTTAATAATTCTTGCTAAAAACGCTCACTTCTTTCTCTATTCATAATTAAACTTATTTGTGGCTTAGGGTAGTGATCCCAGAATAAAGAAAACGTGCACAGAATACACTTCACTCCGTAGCACACCACACCCGGTTTTTAACTTGTTTGACGCAAAACATAATCATTGTGTATGGTTTTTAGCCTGATGAATTCGATTCCTCTAAGCTGTGGCAAAAACTGGATTACTTTTTAATTGCCTGATTATGTTTTATTCGATCAATAGTGAATAAACCTTATGTTCACTACTGTGGTCAGTCTGTAATCAATTGCCCACATAACATACTAAATGTTCACGTTGTGGAACCCTAGTAGCATAAAATAACTAAAAGAAAGGTTATTTTTGCTGAGTAGACGACTGTTCTTAAAAAACGAAATAATAAATAGTACGATTACAGATGTTTCAGATTGTCTCTAATAACAAATTAATAGTAAACGAAGGGAAACGGTTTCAATGCAGTGCTGCATTTCGGTCAGGCATGCGCCATTGAAAATGAACAATATGCAATTGGCTGATGTTCATGTTACAAAATTTGTTGGGTCTATTTATTCTATTAAATCTCAAAA